CATCCACCTTCAATGTGGAGCAGGTACGCGTCTTGAGGGAAATGAGGGAGGGGGAAATTCTACTTGAATCAGATGCCCTATACTTTCCTCCCCTGGGTGGAGACTATGGTCACCCTCAATACATCGGAGAGGAGGCCAGGGTTATCGCGGGCCTGCAGGGGAGATCTACGGGGGAGCTGATAGAGGAGGCGTCCAGGAATTGGGCACAACTCTACCAGTGAGGTGGTTTTTTTATCGTGCAAGTTTTATACTCCAGGTAGGGAGCTTTATTTTTAAGGAGTTTCATTTTTAGGGAGTTCTATTTGGGGGATGTGATATATTATTATTTGTATATTGTGTAAATACCGCTAAAGGAAATATATGGGTAATCTCAATTAGGTAATTGCCCATAAGAGAGAAGCTAAGATGGCATAGGGACCTGCATTTTGCTGAGTCCCTTTTTACCATGTATATAAGGGGGACTATTTTCAAAACGGGGAGGAGTGTAGTGTCGATCGGGTTTGGCCTACACCCGGCAGTGACGTCACAGGAAATCTCTCTTACTGCGAAGCCTTTACAGACCAGACGACGTATATTTGACACTTAGGTAAATCCATGTGCATCTAATCTCGTGTGATATTAAGGAGTCGTTATTATTGTACCGAGTGTACAACATGTAGGTCTCATGCATTCCTCTCGACCCAGTAAATCAAAGTTTCATCATTTTGTGTTTAATAGTATTATTGCAAAAGAATTTGATGCATGGGCAATAAATTCAAACAAAAAGAAATACGGAATAAGGAAGGGGGATCTTTTAACGTGGGAAAAGTTATGTGTAGATACATGTATCAGGTCATTGGCCTTGTCATGATTAGCATTTTGTTCTTAATAGGAGCATTTTTTTTTAAATTTCTAGATTTTAAAATTATTTGTGCATAAATAATTTTAGAGTGTGTTATTGTTATCTATTTGTCATGGTGTTCTGTAGGTCTCATGTATTTTTTTCGACCCAGTAAATTAAAATTAAGTCATTTTGTGTTTAATAATATTGTTTAAAAAGAATTTGATGCATGGACAATGAAATTCAAACAGAAATAAGGAAGGGGGGTTTACATCTCGTATGTTTATGTGTATTGCAAGAAAAGTTACGATGATGGCATTTTTTTTTTCACTTTTCTATGCGATTTTTCTCAGTAGCGTGAACATTTACTTTTATTATATGAAGTTGAAGAGTTAATGTTGAATCTGGACAGTAGAAGATTTTAATGTAATAGTAGCTCATTTTCACCTTAATATCTCCAGTCGCTCGATGGACAAATCACTTTGGAGATTAAGATTAAGGAAAATCTTTGGAAGTTAATCGAGGGCCGACTAATTTAAATTAGAGTCCTGGTTTTGGGTGTCTTTCAGAATGATGCAACAGTTTATCAATAGAAACCTGTTGTTACCCCTGCCACAAAATGAGTATTGGTTCTAAGTTATGGGATATACATAGGTCACAGGAAAGTCAGAAAATGTGTAAATTTCGAGATTTGCTCATTTTTATGCAATTTCTCGTCGATTTTACAGCACATTTTGTTTCAGAAAACATAAAGCACAAGTTTGCCTATCTAGAAAATTTATATATTTCATACACTAGTAACAGATGCATCTTGTGTAAAAAAAAACTCAGATAACAAAACTCAAACTATCACAGTTTAAACTGTGTTCTGATTTTTACATCAAATAAGGGTGCAGATTCGGCCGCTACCATACCTTGTCCTTACAATGAGAAATCCCAGGTAACGAAAGATTCCTTACACACCATACGTCTAAGACGATTTCGGAATATATCTTGCAATACTGATGCATGCTCAGAATACGATGTTTTAATCACAAAAGAGGAAAAAAACAGTGATTGGTCTAAAAAAAATCTACAAAGAATTACAAATCTGTTTGTTTGTTTGTATGTTGTTTAACGTCCCTCTCGAGAATTTTTCACTCATATGGAGACGCCACCACTTACTGGTGGAGTGCTGCAAATTTTGTCCTATACTCGGCACTTACGGCCATTGAGTAGTGAGGGATCTTTTTCGTGCCAGCAACTACTGCGACACGGGACCTCGGTTTATACGGTCTCATCCGATGGACCTGTCTCCACGTCCCACAGTGGGATTCGAACCCGCGACGTAAGGATCAACTCCTTACTTCGCAACTCTAGAGCAGACGCTCTAACCACTGCGCCACGCGGGCGACTTACAGATCTGTAAACAGATCATAAAACGCGGACTCTCCGGAAAATTATCTCATTTGAGCCGAATAATCTATTTTCTCACTCTTTCGTTTTTGTAAATTTTTGGCGGGTTGGGCAGAGAACATTTCTAGTGTTTTCCATTTGGGACCTGTACCCATCGAACTGTTCGCCCAACCCAAAAGTTACGACAATGCTTCCAATGGCTCTTGTTCCCATCGTTCATGTTTTCAGGGGTCAGTGTTTGTCATACTCACAATGTGTTTAAATGGACTTTTGAACACGATTATTGTGCGTTATTTTCAAATTATAACACAAAATAAAAGATAAAAAACCAAAAAACCATGAACATTGAGGAGAAAATTATTGGCATTTTATACTGTAGTAGTTCAAATATACGTATAAAAATGAGTGTAATAAAAATTGTATTTCTAATGTTTTACAGTGTATCAATTTTCATTTTAACTATCCGTTATCTCCATTTGGCAGAATTATTAAATATGAACATAATATTTCTTATTTTCAGTTTATTTTAAATGCATCAATAGACAATAATAATGATATGAAATTTCAACATATTTATCCAGTAAGGCCCGCAGAAAAATAACCATTCACAAGGATGTCAATTTTATCAAGAAACCTTCATCAAAACTAAGAATTAAGAATAAATAAAAACACAAATATTAACAAAAATGAAAATGTCTATTTTATGAACATTGCTTATCATTGACTCGTAATACTAGTATTCTATTGAATTATCCATCCACGTCTTTCTTTATTAATCCGAAATCTGTATAAACACACACACACACACACACACACACACAATATAAAAGAAAGATTAACAACAAAACTTTACGTTTGTCTCCTCATACCTGCGATTTCAGATTATAAAACAAATGAAGTGTAAAATTATCAAAAACGCAGAAATTTATAATAAGAATAACAGATGTTTACTAGTGATACCTGACCAACATCATTGCCCCCTTAACAGTTGTTCCATGCCTTACTGTAGGATACCAAGGATCGTGCCATTCTGAGCAGCACAGTTACGTTCATTCCACCTGTCTTATCCCTGTCTGCGGTGGTGAATGACATCCCAGACAGATCTTGGGAGGAATACCCAGTGTCTATCATACTGTCACTTGTTGAAATAAAGGGGGAAAATATTCAAAACTTAATTCAGTTCAAGACATTTTATTGTCAATATTTAAGATGATTAAAATGAAACACAACACAAGATTTCAAATAAGTGAAATGCATTTTGAAATGATTTAAATGATATTTTATACCTTCAAATGGATGTCAAACAAGTAACATGGTCTTTGAAATGATTTAAATGAATTGTACACACCTAATACAGGATTTAAATAAGTAACATTAACTTAGAAATAGAATTATATCACTTGTTATGTAGATTGATATTATTCAATGAGGTGCATTCTCATTCTTTTTTAAATATATTTCTTAAAATCTAACGAATTTTACTCGACTCAAAACAATATTCCCCTATTTAAGTCAAATAGCGAACAAATAGGAATACTTCAAAATGACGTACACAATAACATTTCATCCTTTCTATTGTTGCTTATCTTTTACTAGATCTATTACTTATTTCTATAACATATCCACATAATCATAACCCATTCTCTGACATTACCTTATTGAGACTAGTGACACCAAAAAGAGATTAAATAATGTGAAAGCAATGCTTTTATGGTGAAGAATGTGACATATACAAAATATTTTGGCTGATAAAAATCTTAAAAACAATTTGTAATTATTTATTAAAAAAAGAATAGTTGTAGAAAAAAAGAATATTTATAGCATGAGATATATCAGATTATTGTTCTTTTTGTTTTTCAAAGTAATAAATAGTTTTCTCAGACAATATTCCCATTTATACCAATTTTTGTAGCTAAACGGGAAATGAGAAAATAATAAAAAAGTTATTAATAACACAATCTGAAAATACTTTGACCTCATTCAAAAAGAATCATTGTTATAAACAGGGGGATAAGAAACAGAGGTTACATACATTTTGCTGGTGGAAGACATGACATTAAATGAAATTGCCACCATAGCCCTTTATATACTTAAAGGATGTCTCATTTTTTTTTCTAATCCTCTCCCTCTCCTTATTACCCCCCCTTATTTCTCCTCTCACTCGCTATCTCTCTCACTTTCTTTGTATTGATAGTCACACATTTTTTTCTTATTACTTACCCAAGGTTCCGGTAGCAGGCCCTCCAAATAGAAGTCTGTAGATATCCGTTTCACTAGACACAGAAATCTGACGATAAAGTTCGTATAAAGTTGTGCCATTTTGTAATGTAATAGAGACGTAGAGGGATGAGTTGCTTCCCTTGGTAAGCTGGTGTATAACGTCATTTCCTTCAATACGTTAATGTAAGAGTGTATTAGTAATTGAAAAAAATAAAATACGTGACATAGTAAACAAAGTAAATAAAGTCTTACAAAAACAAGATATTAAAGTGTATTTACAAAAAAAAAATCCCATTCCTTAAAATATACAAAGATGCAAATAAGTAGATTTTCCTTGAGATATAAGTAGAAGTAAAAAAAAAAACCATTTACCAATCCAGTGGGAATCATTAGGGGTTCCAAAACCTTTTTTGTACTCCGCCCACATTTTGTCAAAACTCACGGATCCACCCACTCGTTTCTGAATTGCCTACAAGTTATCAAAAGAAAATAAATATCTTGAAGTCCGACGATGTTTTGTTTATCTTTCTGCTTTTTGTAAGAGAGAGAGAGAAAGAGACCTTACTGTCTACCGTCCGCCTTCAGTCTCCATATCACAGTACACGCTGACCTGGGTCTCGATATAAAAGGGATTTCATAAATATTACATAAACACCAGATTGTGTTTGTCTTTGTACATAGTGGTCCTTACAATCCGTTATATTTGTTATTTTTATGTATAGCGTTTAATGCAGATTTACAAAATTTATTGACATTTTTTTTTATAATAAAGCACCGTAAATTTATATCCCATTCGGAATATATCACATAGCAGCTATTCGATATCCCTATTGGTCGTTAAGTCTCTTAACATGTCAACATGAACTAACAAATCACTTCACTTACTCAAGTTATAGTAAAACCTTCAGACAGAGGTCCTTTACCATTTAAAACGCATAACTTCATTATGTCTCCGTCGAAATGTGAACAGAGCCAGCTGATTCATCTATCTTGATCTGATCATGTTTTGGAACCGAAAACGTAATCCGAATTTACTCTTAAAATTTCGAAGCCGAAGGAATATCAACAACAATGTACAGATGTATACTAATCATGACAACCAAAATTAACAGAACGTATATATTCACCGCGAGTTCCAGAGATAACAAAATTCATCCAAAAGGAATCCCCAGAACAATTCACCAGAGAATATCCATCTGTTTCCTTCTTTTCACAGAAAGTGCAAGAAGAACCTTACTTATCAAAGCTCAACCCTAAAATAGATATTTTCTTCCAGCGCCAACTGACAAAAATTGGAGCCATCCTAGAATGTATGGTACGTGAACGCTTCCATGGGATATCAAACTCTTGGAAACATGATATCAACAAACATTTCCAAAGCTGTAGGATTGTCTATGACTTACACTAACCACTGTGTTCGCGCCATCACAGCCACCGTGTTAGCCCATACTGGAGTAAGCTCTCTTGGAAACATGTCCGTCACAGGCCACCAGAATGAGAAAAAATGCAGAGTTATGTTGAAGAAGTGTTAGAGAGCATCAGTAGCCACTCAATCATCAGTAGCCACGTCTTCTTCAGCTGTTGAGGAAGTGTTGGATAGCACAATGTTTGGTTGAAGTAATACCTTCTGTGGTTCAACATTCCATGTTGCAGGAGAGAGTCAATTACACATAAATGTGTAAACTGCCTCTGGTAATGAAAAGAAATAAACAATCAAGTGTTAAATACCAGGTTGATTGCCGCAGTCTTATTATTTATTTAATTCAACGAATCAGATAACAAAATTCTGACAATAAACTTAAAACTGCAAAAGTGCAGGAACTACTTTATCCCGGACGAGCACCCAATTCTATTATGGGTCAGAATTACCCAAAATGCCAGCAAAATTCAATCACATAGTTTGAACTTAACAACAATTTATTTGCAATAATATATAAAGATCAAAATGTGCAAACTAACAGCAAGAATCCAATTATACATTCAATAGAGTACCCATTATTGTACTCACATTGTCCAAGTGAGAGTATCAAACACCTGTCCAATCCCAGTTTTTTTTTTATGCATACTTATACATTAACAGAAATCTAGAAAATTCTAGAACTTGTAAAATTAATACAAGATGTTACTGGAACATCCTGGACACACACGAAATTCAAAATTTAAGAATGTTCTAGAAAAAAATGACCCAACATGTTGACCACTCTGGAATGTTCTAGAAATTTTTTTATGTTACTCAATACAATACAAGCACATTTCAATTACACACACCTCACAATAATATATATAAAGAAGGGAGTATCTGATGGAGAATATCTCTCACTTATTCGATGTATGTGCTTTAAAAGCATAGCTATAATTCATATGATAATCAATGAACAAATAATGTGTCTAAAGTAAATTCCTAATTTTTATATCGATTTCAAAAGTAAACTAACTATTTTTAATTTTTTTGTAGTGAAAGTTCGCAAATCTTTCAGAAAAAATTGTTTTTCTACACCCGAAATTATACTTTAAAACCGTAAAAAAATATTTCTACATGTAATATTTGATCAAATAATTCATTGCATCTATATTATATCCTAGCATATTCATCAACTTTCAACGAGGTCCAATCATAGATATCCTAAAATAAGAAATCAATGCTAATATTTACATTCTCTAACATTGTTAATTTCTTTAGTCTTATGAGTTTAGCGCCTTTCAGAACTGGTGTTCTTAATAGATGTAAGAATCATTTGTGACGTGGAAAATTAATAACGCAAATGAACGTTGCGAAAGACAAAAATGAAAAAAAAAAAAATTTAAACGCACAGTGTTGCAATTTTACAATAATTAAACAGGGTAATTGTTTTTAATTAAGTTGAATCAAAACATTATACATTTTGGTGTTCCTATAGTATTGAAAATGTATATAGTCCCTGAAGTGGGTTATTCAGAGCAGTGACAAGGTTTCGCGTGTTTTATAGGGTATTGAATGATTTAAGATTCCCAATGGATTTCATAAAGAAAATTATACCGTATGTAAATATGTCCGATGTATTGCAAAATCACCTTATATACCCAGGAATGGACAAGAAAAAAGAAAAAAAAAACTATCTCTAAAAACAGTGTTGCGTTTAATTCATTTTATGCCATAATTATTCCCAATTTAAAAGAAAAATATTGGGTGTGTTCTTTTGTAGCGAAAAGGGGACATAAAAACACAGAAAATATGACGACAAACTGATCTAAGGTATTATCAAGTCACGTTTAGTTTATACAATATGAAGAAAATGTCATGCACTTTTTATGATTTGTGAAAGTAAATTATTTAAATAAAAATGTATCTTATTCATCAGTACACAATATATTTTTACTAGCTAAGGATGGATTGTTAAAAATGGCGATTAAAAAGACTAAATTTCATAATGTGTGGATTAGATAAATTTTCTTGGTTGTGCGATCAGATAATTTTTAAATAGATAGTCAGACGGGCTGCTGCTTAGTACGTGTTAGAGACACCAATAAATAAAATAGATACATATTTCTGAGGGGGAAAATAATAATCGTTTCCTGTTTTTCATACTCCGAAATCGAAATTTATTTTACTTTTATACGCAACCTGTGAACTTTGACATTGAACAGACATGAAATAAGGCTTTATAATTTCCAGGTCCATTTAACTCTCTATTTATTGCACCTTGTTGTTACTCTATGAATATGATTCTTTTCTCATGACAATTTTGCAAGTTCTATTGATGTATTGCAGAATCATAAAGAATTAAACATTAGGTTTAATGAATACTTTCTTTACAACTAATATAGTATTGAACCTTAAACAGAATATAAAGGGAAAACAAAATACGATTATCTGGCCTTGTTATCTTTGGATGTTTGACATAAAAAAATTCGAAACAAGGGCTGATTTGTGCATACATGCAATCACTGAAATTGACTTTCTAGAAGGCATTGACACAATACCTGTCCCCCATCCATTAAAAATACAATTATGCAAATTACAAGCTATATCAGTACTCTGTATTAAGATCAAATAGCTAACTCGGCATTGTCTGTTTCGAAGTTCAATTCTTTGTTTAATTTCATTTTTTGGTTTAATTTTTAGGTACTACAATTACAAAGACGATATTTCTTTTAATGGAATATTACCATACATGTGTTTACGATATGGTATCTACGTGAGTATTCTAAAGGTATTATAAATAATTCACTTTTAAAGTTTATACATTTTTAATATTCCTGATGGGAATTTAACTTATTGAAACAATAATACATCAGTCAGGGATGGTCAAAGTTCTAAAATTCTTTAGAATTAATAGCTATTTATCACAGCGAATTGTAAATAACTAATTATCACTCGAATTACAATTTGCGTAAAGACTTTTATCAGGTATATAATGATGGTCCCAGCTGACAAAGCAGGTAACAACATTGTCTTTGTTTGTTAAGTCCACTATATTAGTTGTATTTTAAACTTGGATTCAATTCTACAAGTGGCAATCCAGGCTATACCCATAGCTCCTTTCTATGGAGGGAATTCTTCAAAATCATTTGTTAGTTTTTAATATCTTTAATATTCCAAAATTGGATTACGAACATCATATAAATCCTTACAAGGGTACATAGCGGGTTCCATTAAATTTTACCAAAATCAACAATATAAAAACTTACGACTTTTCAACTCTGTATACAACCATTCCCCACGATAAAGTAAAGCCAAGGCTTTTTGACATCATAGACAGCTGCTTGTTCAATAAAAATGGAACCCGTTAATTTACTTACCTTGTCATTGATCATTTGCAATATAATTTTGTTAAAAAACTGATTGTACACACAAGTACTCTGAAGTTGAGACATAAAAAGATGTTTGAGTTTCTGATTGACAACATCTATGTGGTTTTAGGAGACCAGGTCTTCCAACAATCTGTTGGAATTTTCATGGGTACCAATTGCGTCCCCTTGTTAGAAGACTTATTTTTGTATTCATATGAAACAGAATTTATTCAAAATATTATACGTGAGAAAAAGAAATCCCTTGCTTTGGCCTTCAGCGCGACATTTACATTTATTGTCGACGTATTATCAATTTACAATAGTCATTTCCATTCATATATGTCGACACGATATATCCCAGTAAGCTTGAAGTAAAAGATACCACAGAGCTTGACACATCTGTTTCATATTTGGATATTTTACCAGAAGAAGACGTTAATGGTAATTTAACAACAAAGCGTTATGACAAAGGTGATGACTTTAACTTTTAATCGTCAACTTCCCCTACTTATGCAGCAATATACCCTTATCACCTGCATATGGGTGTATATCTCTCAGCTGATTCGATACAAAGAGCATGCTCTGCTTATGAACAATTGAATGGACTTTGAGCTTAATAACTGTTCGTTATTTCCATATTTTATGCAAAATATTTTTGCATACATTTTGTAACAGAGATTTAATTAAAGGAAAAGGATGCATGAAATATATTGAGATAGCGGGCAGTATTCAAGCACAAAAGTCCATTAAACATTACAAAATAGGAGCAGAGCATACACGGACCTCCAAAACATCAGAGGTGGGATCAGGTGCCATGGAGGAGTGAGCATCCCCTGCCGACCGGTCACACCCGCCGTGTGCTCCTTGTCATGATCGGGAAATAACGGGAAAATCCGTCGACAATTCAATGTGTAAATAATGGCCTAACAATTAGTATGAATAACGTCAGTCAGCAAAAGAAGGATATGGAAGACAAGGAAAATGAATTGTTAAAAATATTGAAGTTCTCAATTACATTGACGATAAATATTCTCAATGGTGAAATGCTATGTTCTGCTGATTATAAATATGATTGATAGAATTTATATGCTTTACAAAATTTAAATCAAACCCATTATGGCTTTTTTTCCTGATTTTCTTTTTTATCAATTTGTAAACAGTTCATTTTTTTGGATTTTGAATTAAGCCATGCAATAAAATTACTTTTTTGAATATGTATATGTGATTCAAAGAATGATAACGAACAGTAATCAAGCTCAAAAGACCATTGAAACAATACACATCAGGAGCAGAGCGAACACAGACCTCTAAAATCTTCAGAGAGTGGATCAGGTGCCATTGAGGAGTAAGCACCCCTGTCGACCGGTCTTACCCGCCGTGTGCTCATTATCATGATCGGGAAATAGGAAAAATCCATAAATTCAGTGTCTAAATAATGGCCTAACAATAAGTATAAAAAAACGTCAGTCAGCATTAGATTTAATGAAAGATTGTATCGACCATAGGACTTGCAAAATGATGACTTGAAATGAGACTGTTGATATCCTTGTTTTATCAACGTGTTTGTCAATAGCTTGCCTCGTTTCTGAAATTCTTCGTAAGTAAAACATGCCCATCATTTGACTTAAAGAGAGATTGTATTTGCCAACAAGGTCGTTGTATCGACCATAGAACTTGCAAAATGTTGACTTTATATGAGACTGTTGATATTCTTGTTTCATCAATTTTGTCAATAGCTTACCTCCTTTGTGAAATTGTTCGTATGTAGAGCATGCTCTTGCGTATCGAATGAACTGGGAGACATAAACCCATCTGCATGTGCCAAGGGTGTATTGCTACACAAGTAAGGGAAGTTAGCGATAGAAATATTAAAGTCATCATGTTTATCATAAAGTTTTATTTTTAGGTAAAAGTTCTTTTAAATTTAAAAAAGTGACATAATTGACATTATTATATGCTGTACAGCTGATAAGTTTTGTAGATAATGTTTTGTTGTGGTCAAATACCTATATTGCTGTCCTTAAAATAATGAAATTGCAATACATGCATCTAGTTCATTTTATTTCAAAGGAACTTGAATTTAATTCTACAAGTGGTTATTCAACTTATACTCTTAGTATAATTCCTTAACTTCATAAAACTCCTCACAAACAGAGATACATAGCGGGTTCCATTTATTGTTCTTCCACGCCTCTTTCTTTACTCCTCAAGAAAACATTAAGATCAGTGAGGGAGTAATTGCAGAAGTACTGTGCATGAAACATATTTTAGTTGTTAGATATATCTGAAATAGTTAAGATTAAAAGAATTTACCACGCAACGCTACTACTAAAAAGATCTCTAAGCTTATTTGGTAGTTCTAGAACTCTATGTATCCCTGTTTGTAACGAATGCTATGATATTATCAAAGATAATAAAAACGTAATTCAGTTAAAAGATTTATGATAAACCAAATGTGATTATACATTTTCACTTGACAAAGAATCATAAATAAAAGCGACATACACGTTTATATGTAGCTGAACAACAAAACGCAATAGAGCATGCGTGCGAATTTTAATTTACAAATATTAATTTCATTTAAGGTCAGACGATACCTTCCTCAAATATCTGTTATGTATATCTTCGTAAAGTATGAAAAATGTTCAAAATTTTAATGTTTTTTTTTTTATTATTTCTTAACCAGTTTCTAATCGTCCTTAAAAAATTCAAACACTATAAAATTTGATATTGGCAAATTAAATTTTTTCCAAAGGGATTTTTCAAGAAAAACTATCCTCTGGTATCATGCACAAATCTCTGGTAAGGTACCTCAATTTTTCTTAGGAGTAAACATGTTAAAGTACCTATACTTCAATGATAAAATCTTGGAAAAAATTATATATTATTGAGGAACGTATCATCTGTCCTTAAAAGAGTATTTTAGATGTTTACATTTTTTTCTGATGTTAACAATGTTCATAAATACTCTAGAAATGTTTGTATCAATACATCTGAATGGTATATCTACAAAAACAAAAATAAAAACAACCCTAATTGCTTTACAAATATAACCCTTCTCGATCCGATCGATTGATATTTTATATGATAGGCGGGATAACTCTTATCCCGCAGACTTACCATTATATACATTTTCTACGAATGAATCAAGTTTTTTAATTGTTTTTACAGATGCACAGAGGTAGCGAAGAATATATTCCTGCTTTCATGCCAAAAAAATGTGACCATTCTTATCTTAAATCACATTCTCCCTTTAAATTCCATATCATAAACTATAATAGAATAAAGACACACGACCCACTCAGTATCACTAACAAATCGGACAGATCAAAAAGAGCGCATCTACGTTTTATCGCCTTCGATGCGTGTAGCTCATTAAAAAAATCCTTCGACTTGTAAGAGAAAATTGATTGAGTTTTTCTTTGTTACGTATTTTTTTCCTGAGATTTATACGTAAAAGCTTTGCTGTGACTTCAGGAGAACGCTTACCCTTCCGTAAGTATGAGGAGCCTGCATTATATAAATATAACCCCACAAGCGCGTTCGTATAAAGCACTGGACTTTTCTTGATATAGATTTTAAATCAAAATCAATTGCATAATTTTAAGAATTATTGTAAAATGTCAACAGAAGGGATGGGGACTCATGCTATAAACATCAGACTCATGGGTAAATATGGCTGCATTGTTGTGTAGTAATGAGATTCAATGATAACCGGACAAAACTACACCAAAATGATATTTTAATTTCGTATTCCATAATAAAAAATTCAAAATACACAGGTCTCATTGATGACATTCTATGTTGATTTTAATACACTATACAATCAATTACTTTATTTTGATTGCTTGAACTTAATATTTTTTTGTAAAAATCGCAGTCAATCAAGGTCGCAGGTATCGCGTACGATCTGAGGTTTAAATGCTATACACTTTGAAATGAACTTTTCGATCAATATAATTGTTTTCTTCAATCAACAAATCAATCTTAATTAAAATTAAACGTGACGCAAATAAAACGCATCAAATTGTATAAAATATAATCCTGGGTAAATTTCCCCTAAAACATAGACTTTATCTCGATTCTACATAACGAAATATGATCATCCAACGCCTTTTTAAAGACGAAGTTCAGAAGAGATACTTCGCTTTGTGTGGATGCTGGAAAGAGAATATAATCTTAACATGATGATTTATTCATATGTAAGGAAAATTATAAGATTTTAGGATACTGACAAACACTTTGATGATACAAGGATAAAATATCATTTAAATAAACATATGTCAAATCCTATAGACAATCCAATGATCTTGTTTGTAAATACAATCTACAATCTATCGTTAAGTTGAATGCCGTCTTACGTCTTTTACTGAATTAATAACTACTGGTATTGACTTTGACATCTTTATGTATGTGTATATATATAAAGCATGTCCATTATCAGTAGGGTACATTCCATGTAGAAAAATTGCAACCTTTCACTTCAGGAAAGTATTATTTAGACTTTTATCCAAAAAAAGGTAAGCGTTTACATGTACACATGTACTCATTTCTTTAATAATAAAAGTAACTCACAATAGATAAAAAAGAACACAGACGAAAAAATTTTATCAAAGCGATGTGTAAAGAACAAACTCCCATGGCATCCAATCTGTAGGGTGTCACTATTAATCCTCGTCTGTTGAAAATAAATAATAGAATTATTGAAGTAAGAAATAAATATCGCCTATCCTCATAAGTTATCGAAATCCCCGCACACCCGAATGTTTCAAACACATTATTGACGTACAAACAGGTCATGTTATTATTGAAAGGTAAGTCATGTGTATCTGTGTATTAGGAATAAACGGTGTTTACCTAGTGACGTTTGATCATCATTATCGTCCCTCTAATGTCTGCTCCAGTCTGGATTGTAGGGTACCACGGATTGATCCAGTTTTGGGGAGACCAGGGACCGTTAAGGAAGGCGTGATGACAGATATTAAACCACCAGCCTCCTTTTAAGTCAACAGCACAGTTCACTCCATCATATCTATCGTTGTCTTTGTCTGAGGTGGTGAAGGACATCCCAGGGAGAGAAACGTAAGAATTTCCAATCTTTAACATACCGTCACCTAAATTACGTAGACAAGATACTTAAATCAGATCTTGGTGTTTTTATTGTCAACGAAGCCTTTATTGGCCTTGTGAATTTCTGAAAAATCAAAACTGTCCAGTTTTAGTTGACAATACATTAAATAGTACTTGGAACCTCCGTGACTGCATGTCTATAGAAAATGACCTTATTTTCTCACTAGTCAAGGTATCAAGACTTCATAAATTGCAACATTTTTCTTATAGTCTGAAAGTTTCTGCAAAAATGGCCAGCAGTTTTAAGCTGTTTTTCAAAACTTCTGATCCAGAATGTACAATTACCGGGTATTTAATATTATTATATAATTGAATAATTTCTATCTCTTTGACTGGCTGAGATCCAACAATGTAGAAAGAATAATACGTTGTATTCACCTTCACGTGACATTCAAGGTGAATATAAGGATTCAATTTTCTCTACATTGGTCTAAAAATAGATCGGGAAATTCCAAATACTTTTGGAACGTTATTTCACTTGCTTCCGACTTCCACACTGGTGAGCATAACATTAGGGGTGGGGTGGTTGGGAGTGCAGGGGACTTTCCCCCAAACACTTTTTTAACGTAATTTTTTCACATTAGTTTGAATATTCAATGAGAAACTGGTTCCCCTACAAATGGACTCCCTTGCCCCTAACCCCAAAACTAAACTTGAAGTAAAGAGAATTTTCTCTTTGTGGGGGACTTATCAACTTATTTTCTATCAACTGTCATTTTTCCCTGGTAATGGCCCCTTTTCAAAATCAATCCTATAAAAGAACCTGACATTATTTTCAAATTTCAAAAATTCCAAATTAATACAACTGGTAATGTTTATTTAACTGTGCATATTTCATTGCCTTTGGCTAGGACTTCGAAAAATGTAAACAAGTAAGATTGCATGAACTCCTTAATGAGTTTGTATCATTTAATCTATAAATCATATAATGGCAAGAACTGCTTCATGCGTTTGTATCATTAAATCATATAATAAAACAATAATTGGTGTTTTTCAGTCAGTACGATGATTTAGCCACCTTCGAAGTACAATAATAACGTCGCCCTTTGGGCTCGGTGAATATTGTATTCCTCAGGTGGCTAAATCATAGTATTGACCTAAAAACAAGAATGATTATATCTTTTATTTATTTATTTTGGATCGAGGGATTCACTCATATTTCGTCGCCCGCGTGGCGCATGGTTAGAGCGTCTGCTCTACAGTCGCGGAGTAAGGAGTTGATCCTTACATCACTGATTCGAATCTCACTGCGGGACGTGGAAACCGGTCCTTCGGATGAGGCCGTATAAACGGAGATCCCGTGTCGCAGTAGGTGCAGGCACGAAAAAGATCCCTCACTGCTCAATGGCCCTAAGCGCAGAGTATTGGTCAAAATGTGTAGCCCTCCACCGGCATATTAGTGAAAAATTCTTGAGTGGGATGTTAAGCAACAATCACTCAATTAATCATATTTTATTTCTTTGCTGTATATACTCCCAGAAAAGCTTTTATTCTGCAAATTTCAAGAAAATTGCAATATCACAAAACCTGATTTCCAATAGATTGCCTCTTAAAAAAACTAGGAAAAAATTAAACCTTTAAGTCTACTTAATATTGATGTTTGAAAAGGGACATAGGTTGTCCATTGTCAATTAATTGGAGTATGGATAGGGCCATTCTTTGCATTAGGTGAACTTACCCCTTCACGCACATTTCATTTTTTGTCGACTAATCGTTTTCAGATTTTCCAACCGATCACAATCGTTTCCACCAAGTACCTGGTTAAGCTGTCAAAAACTGCCTTTACTTATTGCATAAGTATCAACAAATTAAGCAAATATTTAGTATATTGTCTCTCACGTGTTAGAATCTGTTATAATCTCTCTCTCTCTCTCTTGATTGTAAGACACATTTTCTTGATGTTAATTACCTAATGTTCCCGTGGCAGGTCCCCCCAGAAAGAGTTTGTACTTGTCTTCTTCATTGGAAACAGAGAACCATTCATACAACTCATACGGTTTGCTACCGTTCACTAGAGTGATGGAAACGTAGAGAGATGAGTTTCTTTCCTTTGTTAATTGATGAATTACATCATTTCCTGTATGAAGACATTAAAATTCAAAGACAACGTATTTTGAATTATATTTTTTTGTTTCCCTTTAAATAATTCTGCCCTAAGAAAGAATTCGGTGGATTTCATTGAACACGCATTAACCAGTCTTTCGAAATCTTTTTCGAAATTAATAATCAGTATAAAATGATCCGTTTTGATTTACCTATCCAGACATTCCCTTCAGGTTCACCAAAACCATTCTTATATTCTGTCCAGTTCCTGTCAAAACTCAGGCCTCCATCCAAACGTTTTTGGATGACCTTGAAAAGATATACATGTATTTATTTATTATATATTATCTAATAAACATTTGTATGAATTAGTGTGTAGTTAATAAAGACTAGGAATATGGATGTATCCTGTCCTGTCTTTTACAAATACATAGGTTACTAAAATTAAAACCTTCAAATATACGAGCTACGAGTCAACTTCCATGCTTTATAAAGAGACTAGATACCGTCCATCCTCCATCCATAGTCTCCATGTCGCAGTAAACTCTGATAGGACTTTTGCTGGTGCCAAAGGGATAGATTTGATAGACACTTGAGTTGGTGTGACCATCGTAACTAAGGTCCCTACAATCAGCGGGGGGAACTGAAATAGAGGAGTAAAACCTTACATTATAGGTATATGTGTTCATATAGACATTAAAAAGAAAATATTGCATTTGCAAAATAAAAAGAGATTATTTTTTTTTATAATCATAATTTGTTTCGGATCTACCCTAGTATTTTTTTTTCAACTTTTTAAACTTGGAAAATGTATTAATAAATCGAAAAAAAAAAATATTTTCACTGATCAGTTAATCAAGAGAACCTCCAATGAATTGCACATTCAACGAAAGTCGCGGTCTTGCTGACGTCATAAATGCATTTTTTTTTAAATTAGCAACTTTCCTATACCTTTTTATTATGAAGTTAAAATAGAGAAATTGTTATAATATTTTACAGCTTTTTAGTATAAATATTTCAATAAAAATAATCTCTAACTTATGTTGAAAATGCTAGGGTTAAATTATAACATTTAAACAATTAACTGCATATCAGCGGTAATCAGAGTCTTTTAGAATTTAAATGGTCGAACTTGTTTGCGTTAGAAACGGTTACTTATTTGTCAACACATTTTGAATCCAACGATATGCGACAACTGGCTTTTGCATTAAATATTCTTTAGTTAACAGTTTGTTACATTTATAAAAACCTTATTTTCATCTTCAATTGTAATGTCTAAAATTTGTTGTGTTTTAAATTAAGTAAGCTCTCTTTATGAAATAAAGTACATTTACATTCCAAGTGAAAAACGATCCAGGTACATTGAGCATAAAGAAAACAATATTACTGCTACCAGTTATGGCTCACAATGCTGTAAGCGACGAACTGGTAAAAATTACATGCTATATCTTGTTGACAGTATCAAAAACTTCAGCTTACAAGATTTGCAAGTTTGCTTTCGATCGAGAACGCAATCCTTTAGACTGAAAAGTCGCTATACAAAACAAGGTCTGTTCAGTTAAGACATGCCAGTCAATTTTTTTTAAAAAGATTTTCATCCTCATTTAACGTATCTCATCACATCTCATTGTTTTTATTATGGTTTAGTTATTCCACGACTGTCTGCGAAAAGCCGCACAGCGATGTTAAAACACATGTGCTTATAACAAGTATATAACATGTGTATGATTGGAGAAAATTCTTGAGAAATGCAGTGCACATGCAGGAAATAAAGATGCTTGTATTAAGAAGACATTAAAGGCAAAATTATAATTTTACTAGAATTTATTATCATCAATAGAATTTTAAAAAAGTAAAAGTTCTGCAAAGAAATAAAAGTATTACAAGATCTCTGTGTGATCAGCACTTCTTTTGCTATATCGCCTGATCAAAAATGATCACCGACATACAGAAGAAGGATATATTTATTAATAAGACAATTACCAATATTTTAGATATACTGTTTTGCAAAGATTTTGACGATCTGTTATGATAACAAAAATAGGTCGATTAATAAAGGCCAGTGGTACTTTTATTATCTGTGATTCTTTGAGAAAAAAAACATGAGTAGTTTTTGGTGTTATCTCTTTAAGATTTATTCAGAACTCTTTTTTGTAAATCATGCTTAAGAAAAATACAAGTCTGCTAATGAAGGATCAGGATTAAATCTCAATGTATTTCCAACAAATTGATGAAAAGACCTAATCTCATAAAGTGTGTTTTTATCACAATTCTAACTTTCTTAAAATGAAATACCATTGTATTCTTGATATATATACTTAAAAGGTGTGCTATATTTTAATAAAATTATATAAAACACTTCATTAAATTTGTTTGAAAACATTCGTTTCTTACAGCCGCAGGAGCAACCGATCTATTTGTGGTTGTGTTAGAATGTGTACATGGGGAAATGAGTTGTTACTTTTTTCATTGAGATTTTATATTTACAATTTTCATAAAAATTACGAAAAAAATGTTTAAATATAGTAATAATAATTTGTTGAAGTTAAGTTTAAATTAGTTTTTCATTTCTCACAAGATATTTATTAGTTTACGATTTTATAGAAAGTAGTTACATGAACTGCTCCCTAACATGAGAGTGTGTTAGCTATATACAGAGAACCTAATTTTCCAGATATTGATTAGAGTGATAAAATGATTAATAAATATTGTAAAAAATATAACAAATGCACTACAGTTGCAATTAACATAATGATATTTTTTCTGCACTTTGCATTTATTGTGATACATAAAACATCGGCATTATCACGTGACGAAGATCCAGGGAATCAGCACGAGAAAAGTTTGCGTCTTTTTATTGTCATAAATCATTGAGATATTCATCTTGTAATATATAATTTGATGATGATATAATCCTTTCTTTAATCGAAGTTTTCAATATCCATGAATTTATTTTTTTTTGGATAAAAAGTTAACATTTAACCGAAAATTAAAGTATTTAAGTAAAATAAGTACTGAAAGGTCATAGGTGTCGATAGTCAATTAGACCTCGAAGAGATATTCAAAAGAATAAATATATTGAATAGATTTTGACGTTAAATAAATTGATAGACATCATGGTTGGTAAAAACATTGATATCGACGTTATTTCCTTGGTAATGATCTTGTATGAATATGAAGGAGAGAAAGATAATTAAGAAAATTTGCCGACAAGTAGAGTTGAAAGCAAAGACGAAGACATTGACAACTCGGGGCATTGACTGAACAGAACGATCTTACAGTTCGACTTTGAAAGGGAAAAATATTTTCTTACTTAAATAATTACATAATAATTACATAAAAAATTAAGTCGAACTGTTTAAGTAATGAGAATATTTTTCCCTTTCAATCTTACAAATGTAGATGTGGTTACCAGCTTTCTCAACTGAAATCAATACATATTGATTAATAAATCTATCAAATTCTTTAATCACTTCTGAACTGCTGAAGACAGAATGATAGAAAGTTCTCATACTGCAACATATATCTTATACTTTTAAATCTTAACCCAATGTTACAAAGTATTAAGGTCTTCTCTTTCATTTATTACCTATTGTCTGGCATAATCTTCGACAAATTTTATAATATTTCTACAATTATGTCGCCAACTGGAATTCAGTGTTCCCTCACCTTTGGACCTCGATCAACAGTGAATAACTAGATGAACCATACTTTTTGAAAAGAGAAAATAAAAGTATCAGTAATACATACAAATATGAGAATAGTATCTCCAGCTGGTCTCATCAGATATTTCTGAGAAGCTTATCTTCCTATGGGTACGACACTTCATCAATTCCCCATTGTATCCAAAGAATCGACAGTCCTCTTGACACATCGCGGCACATTCTATCAACGACTGAGAGTTGTATTCTCGCAAAAGTTCATCGTTTATTTTTTTATTATCAAATTCTAGTTTTGCAATATATTTCCGCGAAAGAAAAGTAGCTTTAGACACCGTATAGAAGGTAACAATTAAATAGAAGATCCAATGACTATTCATATTGATTTTGGCTTCGACACTTACTGCTGTGTTCTTGTGAGAATTTGCAAATTTGTCTTTATGCGGCCGACTATAAATATATCGGAAATCCAGTCTATTCCGGAAAAAATGATTGGCTAGCTGTTACGTATTCTGAACTTTACTATTGTTTAAATATCGATTTCGACTCATTCCTTTGAATTCACGTTTTCTTTTTTTTTGCATTATTTTCAATGTAAGTACCGCAATGAAAACAAAAAATTCTCGTAACTTGAAACAAATATCACGAATTTCTAAGATTTTAAAGAATAATAATTGCTTTTCATTTCACGCTCCTTATTCTTTGTTTAATTAAAATGATATCAGTTATTGAAGCTAACATTTATCATATTGCTGAATTCTCCTCATGCAAAATACTATAAGGGGAAGATAACTTTAATATTTATCTATTTCTTATGACGTGGCGGAATTTTGTCCTCTTCTTTCTCTTTCAATACGCAAATACAGCTTTTAATTCTGTTGAACTAGTTTTTGAAAATAAGTGGGAATTAAACAGTCGACTTGAGCCTACTTACTTATATCTTAATACGTTCGAGTCGCCCGCGTGGCGCAGTGATTAGAGCGTTTGCTGTACAGTCGTGGAGTAAGGAGTTAATCCTCATGACGCTGTTTCGAATCCCACTGTGGGACGTGGAGACCGGTCCTTCGGATGAGACCGTAAAAACAGAGGTCCTGTGTCGCAGTAGGTGCTGGCACGAAAAAGATCCCTCACTGCTCAATGGCCCTAAGTGCCGATTATAGGTTAAAATTTGCAGTTCTCCACCGGCTAGTGGTGGCGTCTCCATATAAGTGAAAAATTCTCTAGAGGGACGGTAAACAACAACAAACAAACAATAATACGTTCCTTCGTTTGTTTGTCTCCGACGAAGGACCGGTCTCCACCTCCCACAGTTGGATTCGGAAAAGCGACGTAAGGATGAACTCCTTACTCCACGACTTAAGTGCAAATTCTTTCACCACTGAGCCACGCGTGCGACTTATAGTACGTAAGCCCAAATTATAAGTTAAAATGATTTTCGGAGTTTGTCGAAATTTTTAAAAAAGAAAAACTCATATCTGTAAAGACACGCTGGTCGGAGTTTGTATCAGTTTATTTTATTAACTTCACATCTATCAGTAAGTGGCATCATAAGGGAACTCGGAGAGTTTTCTCATAGAGGCAAAGATATGTATGTTCTACATTGCCTTAATTTATTTCTCTAGCGCTTTATCTGATTTGACCAAAGACGGTTTCGGATTGCTGAAAAATAAGACAGGGGATGTTTACTCCTCCATGACACCTGATCCCACCTCTATGTTTTTGACTCGCTTCCTATTTGTATTGTTCCAATTGTCCTTTGATTTTGTTCCTTATCTTCATATTTCAGATGTAAATACTTAAAGACTCCAAGGACCTTTAACGAAAATAAGAATTCACAAAATGTCATCATTATCAAATTAGAATCAAAATTAGAC